GGGACGTTACCGTTCATCGGAACACGTTCACCAAGAGATCGTAGCAAATCCGGACGGCAAAGCAGACAGATCGATCTAGTTGTTAGACAATCACGGTGAAACAGCAAAATCCTTCAGTGGGAGGGCACCCCACCGACGAGTTGATCCAGCCATTAGCGATTCGCGTTACTTTCCTGTCATGCAATAGTCCTTCCTTTTGAAGCACCATAACCACAGCTGCTATGAGACTCTCGGCATGTACCTTCTCATGAAGAACATTGAAACGTGGCGAATATCTGAGCATCATCGGTGACCCCTACTGCAAAACTCGGTCGAACGTCCAGTCGAGCTTCCAACCATTTGTAAGCCTCCGAGGGGAACATGAGCGCATCTATTTTGGCTTGTAACAGATCGCAGTATCTACACCATAGCTACTACTGCACGTCACGGAGACAATCAGAGGTAGAGACAAATTCTTACACTGTAGACTTGTCGTTCATAGAAGTGACAGAGTCAGCTATTATATAGCACTCCGTTGCGAGGTCCTCATCAGTGAACCTGATCAGAACGGAAGGACTACGGTACGCACATTCACTCATTCGAGACAATCCCCGCGGGAGGAGCTGTAGTGACGAGGAGACCCCAAAAAAAGCTACCTGCCTTTTCCCATCATTTTCAACGGACAATTTACCGTCACTATAATGTCCTGACTATGATCCATCAGAGGAGGTATATACTTCCTGAGCATCCACTAGATCAACAGCGGTAAGCCTACAAACACTGGCTCACCGTCGTAACAACACACAAGCCGTGGCCCGGGTCATCGTCTTGACGAGGAACTCCCAACCGCACCAGGATGCCAAGTCGTCGTTCAAGTTCATATGCTTCACATAGGCTCCATCCCTAAGACCGATACCTCTAGAGCCAAGGATATATCACCACCCCCTACCGAATGACGTTGAACCACGCCTCCGAGCGATCAATAGTGTTGAGCCTCTCCTGGGCTGCTAGGAATCTAACAGACCATCGTGAGCAGGGCCCTACGACTCGCCGAGACAGTCTTCAAGAGTAGTGTGAGTACTTCAAGTGTATCTCATCCGCAGTGATAGCAGATGGACTGGCGTCTTCAATACGGATGATGCACTGAACACATGAAGGCCTTCCTCTTGTCACAACAGCCATGAGAGGGAGGCTACCTCAATCTCCCTGTCATCCACGAAGCAATATTCCCTGGCTGCTCCATTGTATCGATCTATCAAAGGCTGATCCTGGAGACAGGATAGAGATTAGATAGGACCAAACGAAATACAGAATGCCAAATGCCATGCAGGGCAGCGATGATTCATTGTTGGTAGTGCTCCAAAGGAAAGGGTCTTCACAAGGAGGGGGGTACGAGTTATGTTCAAAGATGAAAGTCGAAATAGCCGATTCGTGAAACCATACTCGAAACTCCTCTCTCAGAAAGACGGAATAGTCTCCGATGACCTTCCTGATGAATCCTCTGAAGGGTTGAACCAATGCAGATGGCGGAGTCTGAACAAATACGGACACATAGCGGCTGCCTGAGGCCAGCGTTTTCATCTGACTGTGTCAAGCGTCACCGAGATTATTTTTTCACCCTAACGATTCTGCATCTCGATCACAGAACAGCTCACCAAGTTGATACAGACGAACAGTCTTTCCCTTCCCACCTGCTGACCAACTGTCTGCAACGGGTCAAGAGGGTACTCCACTATAGGGAGATACTTCAACGTGCTGGTCTTCCACATATAATGAGCTTGCCAAGCGATGACCAGACGAGCCAGCAGACTGTGTCGGCCCTCCGATTCTAATGGCACCTACAAAGATAGTTCAGACAGGCACACCCTTCAACCAAACCATAGAGAGAACGCTACCGGGTCTGATCGCAAACAAACACGAGCAAGAATATATCGTGTAACTCGCCCAGCTCAAACCTAGATGGTTCCAATGTAGGGTATCAGTATGCTACTAAGTCCGGTCGACCGACTACTCCAAGAGCCTTACCCGATTATCCTTCCACAGAGTTGCCCCTGCCAAGATCAACAGGAGTGATGAGTTGTTGCTTGGATCGATCACCACCTACCAAGATTGGCCCTCCTCATCGACCCTCAAGAGTAGGTCAGTGTTGATACCTTGTCTATACTATCATACTCGATCGCTCCGTTGCTGATGATTCCTCTCATGTTGATGCGTAGAAGATACAAAGCATGTCGCCCAAGGCACAGATAGCACAGCTTCGACCGGCCCCCTCGCTTTATAGTGACTATCTCAAAGTAGCTGAGCTGATCGCCACTGCCCTCCTCAATAATACAAGAAGATATGACCTTGAGTATCACGGGGTCAATGGACATCAACAATGACTCACACGAACCCTTTGAGGCAGAGCAGACAGCTGGATGATTCGACTCGATAGAGAGCGATACCCAACTCCTTTCCCGCTGACACAGCTACACACAATAATACCACAGAGAGAAACGCAAGTGTAGAGCATATCACACCGTAAAAGCTACATGCTGAATCGTCTTCGAGTCATCATATACTCAGAGGCGCCGACCTCCTCGTTAGGAGCAACATTCTCATCACTATACCGTTTCCCAAGAGCCGATTCAAGTGCCGTTATTGTGCCCAGAGCATCTTGCCTCAGTGGCTCCCGACACTGCTTTGATATGCTATTCACGACGTTGATGTTGCCTGTCGTTGAAGGGATGTTGTCTCGGAATATGTAATGAGTCGATTCAGATATGTCAAACAATGATGAGCTTTCACCCTTCCGTTGCGACCAAGGTGAGGAGGATACACAGGATGAATGATCCATTCGAAATGAAATTTCAGAATCTTGGGCGTGCGCAGGATACCCCCTTATTGGCGAGGGACTAGGCAGCCTCGACAACCTGATAATGACAACCTCTCCAGAAATCGAACGCTATGCCTCTCCATCACTAACACATACCTCTTCCTCGCTGAGCTAGCTGGCGTTGCAGGAGGTGGATAATTCCACGTCTGCCGTGGATGCAAACGATTCTTCGAAACAGGGCTCGCCTGGGCCGGACCCGAAGGCTTCGCACTGACCCTGGCTCTCCCCTTCTCTGAATTGCCTCCATCTAGTATATTGCCCAACCTAGAACTGGCAAAAATAGCGGAGCGAAGCAGCAACATACGCACCCTTCTCTGATATCCTTCAGCCGCACTATATCCTCACTTAGGTCGTCTGTTCGCACTGTAGGGCTTTCAACCTCCTCCTCTCCTCCTTCACCTTCTTCCTCTTCCTTTACTGGCTTCAGAGGCTTGCCTGTACTTCCAAGTCTTGTCGCCTCTGGCAGTGGTGATAGCGCCGTCACTGGTGGTCCGGCAGCCCGATACCTACAGCAGGATCTGGACAGACTAGTCACCAGTGATTCACCCCAACTCCTGTGCTAGTCTTATCCTCCCCTTTATAGTAGCCCACAACACGGCTATGGCCTCCCCCAGCTCGCCAGTCGTTACCAACGGTGGCACTCCGCTCCTCACGCTCTCAGCCAGTGATAGCAGCAGCCGTGCCTGGTCCGCTACTGTCGATGATGGGCCACCCGACAAGTGGGACGGAGGAACCTGAATGGTCTCCCTCGCAGAGTACACATCCACAGCACGTCCAACATGCATTCACGAGACGTTTAGTCAGCCTCCTGAGCTCAAAAGAGCTCTACCACACTTTTCCGAGTGGAAAAGCTGTGGAAATATAGGATGCGGAAAATTTCCACATGCTGACAAACGCTCCAAATCCAGATGAATTCAATTTGCCTCTCTATGGTCGCAGCACTGTAGAGCAGATGACTATTTCTTTTCAACTTCTTACGATTCTCCCTCTATCGGACCCTTTGGCTTCATATAACAGTATTACATATCAAGAAAATTACGCGGAATAGAACCCTGCATCATTCACACTTAGCATAAACACGCCCTTACAACTCGGAGGCCAGCGGACGACTATGCATCCAAACTGCCGAAAGGCTGATTCCTTCTTCCCTAAGATTCGTGAAGTCAAGAGTAGTCACCTTTCCCGAAGCACCGTGTCCATCTCCCTCGAGCAGCTGCCTCCTCAATGCTTCGTTTTCCATAGTCAACTCCCCTATCCGAGCATGCAATCGATACACCTCTTCATAGCTAACAACAGGCTGATGATGATGATGCAGTGCCGACGAGCTCGGTAACGACAATGGCTGTCTTGTTATTCGACCAGATTCACCAACAAGAGAAGAGGAGGAGGAAGAGGCCATCAACAAACAATAACCTCTCTTAGTCCTTCATACCTATTGTATTATTGGAATCCGCACATCACGGCACACTTCCCCCACGCCAATAGGAACTGTCTCCCAAAAAAACAAGTCAGCGCCAACGAGAGAGAAGCCCTTTGTCGCTGAAGACTATCTCTCCTTCGTTAGTTGAGTACAACTGCAATCAGATCAGCCACGATTCATCCACGGCTTCCTCCCAATAGGTCCCTCAGAGTTCGTAGTAGTTCGACCAATACTCTCCCATTAACAACACAACAACTACCCAACATGTGCCGTGTAACTTCTACGTTGGTAAACTCGTGTGTATAATCAACTACGGCAGAGCTCCCCTCTCTTATACCTGCCAACAGCAGCACATCACGAATCGTCCACACTCATCTCCAAAGTACTAGTAGCAGTTGACCGCTCATGCTTACTCTATAAAGGCCTCGCCATTGATAGCAGCGCCCTCAACATCCTCTTCATCACAGTTTTTTGCTTCCCTCTTCAACCTTCGTACACCAGCCTCGAGCAGCTCCTGCCATCCCGGATCACTACGCCCTCGGAGGACCTGACAGCCTATCAACCTCAAACCTCCCTATTCCCGTACCTGGTCAGCCACAGGGTTGTCGTCAGCTCCAAAGACTTCGAATATAGCCTCAAAGGCAGCCACCAGAACACGACGCGAGAATGCACCTAGTATAGATGACTCTAGTATAAGCAGTGATTCAGAGGAGGTGCTAACATATTGGGTTCACCTCGAGATGCGCGGTAAACGCAGCGCGAACTCCCATCTCACTATCAGACCGTGCTTACCCTTCTCCCCAGCATGGATTCTAACGAGCTCCAGTAGGCCCTCACATACATCCACAACATGAGCATGACAACGAGCCAGCCATGTAATACAGGCAACCTGATCACGAATGGCAGTAGTAGAGGCCGCAGTACAGCGTCACCCACCTGAGCTTGTACCATATCTTCCGATAAGGGTGGCATTAACGCAGTCATATGAACCGACCTCCTCACCAACTCCGTCGAGTCCTCACCCGTAGATGACGAGTAGCATCCCCTCATACCTACACACCGTGACTGTCCTTCTCTCCCCACATATATACCTTCCCATCTCACTTGCAAACAACAGCGCCTGATAAAGAGCCTGCAGGAGCTCTCCAATAGCTGAGCCATAAGCCCGCTCTCGACCCCAGTCAAGTTTGGAGAACAACGGCATAGCACTATCCAGACTCGACGAGCAGTGCTGGGCCAGGCAGGAGACCTATTGATACACCATCTCGACAAGGTGGGAGAACCGACGCCTCACCCCAGCCTCATCTACCGCATTCTCCACTATGATGATCTCCCTACAGCTCTCAAGAGCGTTGGCATGTAGTGACCACAACGAGGCCAGGTCCGAGAACATCTCCACTGGCCTGAGCAAGCCACTACTATAAACCATTCAGCTGAGGACCTCTGACCTATACCGCTGATTTGAGCATGGACATGTAAATACGTCTAACCCCAACACACGCCCGACTTACATCTCACTGCGCACTCGAGCTACCAATGCCTCATCCAGAGCCTTCGTAAGGAATCACACAACTGAGAGGAAGAGACATCACTCCAGCATTATGACGCCCCTCTACAGAGGCTTCCTGTCCACTGCAAATGACTCGTCACACTAATATTTCTACCGTCGTATCAGAGCAATTTCCCTTACCTCAGCTAAACAGCCCATGGCGGCTTTCAAGACGCTACTATAGGCTTCCGCTCGGCCGGTGAACATGAAGGGTGCCGGTAGCGAGGACGACGAGGACATACCACTCTCCGACATGGGCGCATTATCACTAGAGGACCGTCCACTGAAACAACACTGCTGAGGGACGGCAGTAAACATCTTATTACTTCTCTACTACTGCTGAGACTATGAATGAAAGTGTCGAGACTGAAGTCAGCACAACTGACATTAAAACCAGAAACTCCATCCTACTACTCAGCAGCAGCAACAGCAGTCCTTACGTCTAGCATTCCTCCTCCATGCATCCAGTACACTCTGCGCTCCTCTCTGCTTAGCCGGCTCTGCTGGTGATGGAGAGGAATCCGCAGCAGCCCCTTTGACTGGTGTCTAACGAGTGCTACTCAACAATCTCATCAGATCCTTATATAGGACTACTACCGGTTGTATCGAGGCCACCGTATCCACGACATGAGCAAAACTGTCTACAAGATGACAGCCGGTCGAGCTCACCTACACAAGGGCTTGGCAATGACTAACCTTTACAATCCCTCCTCAGCCGACTACCTATGATTAGTGATCAAGTCTGATGCAGCTAACGTCAATTTAATGAGCATAATGCCAAACTCAGAAGTACTAGCAAGACAGCTTCTCACATGTTCAACCCTACTCCAGTGAAGAGCTAAACGGTAAACATTCCTATACGACCCCGAGTCAGGATCGTTTAGGAATGTCAGGATCCCAGACCCGTCACTTAACCTACCAAACGATGTATTTCCTCAACAACTCTTTCTGCCCTCTCCTCTCCTCCCGTCTCAGGCGCGAACAACTCCATGTGGTATCCACGACAGAGTGCTACACTATCGCATTATAGAACACCACGCTGAGAGGTCACCCTACCCGACGTCAGTTCAGCTGCCAATAGGGGGTCTTCTGCATCCTGTATGGTACGCTCTATATCCGCGATACGATGAGTCATTGGGGCCAGGCAGCAATCTGATAATAGGACAACAGTCTCATTAGTACCACCATGAAGTGAGATGAGAAATTCCTCAAAGGATATGCATCAACATTGGGAAGAATGTAACTTCACAGTACAGCATCTACCTGAGCACATCTCCTCCGTAGCGACTCTTGATAGCATACTACTAGCAGCCACTCTCACCTACCACCAACACCATACAGAGCCGTCACAGGAGACGGGCTCAGTCGTAGCAGTGTGAGTCTATGCACTCACCGCAGCATCACAATCCTTAGCCATAGCAGTCTGTAAGGCTAAATCGATGACATCAGGCGGCAACACAGGTTGGTGTGGAGGGGCACAGAGCCGAACCAGACCCTGAAGGGAAAACATACAATCGCTTCTCATCACTGTACATTTACACTATGAAATCTCATCACTGAGCGCGCGATCAGTTGCTGTACATTCTCAATACGATTGAGCCCGTCAATCATACAAACAACAAAATTTCTTTAGTCACTAAAATCGGTCACCCTCAAATGGTCGAACGATCTTCTCTCGCGGGGATGATACGGCTCTCCGCAGCGAATAGGAGTGTACATGCCTTACTATTCGCACGGTTATCATCGGTTACACTGCACCGTGTGAAACTCCATAGTGATGCCCCTCTCCTTTTACTACCCCTAAGAGCTCCCATTCAGCCTCGATGATCTCAATGCGAGCATCGTGCTCGACCTGCCGCTGAGAGGACTTCTTCTTATTTTTCACAGGGGCCATTGTCGAGTCCGACAACATACGCATATCCTCCCTCAGCGTCGTCATGACCTACCCCAAGCCATTCACTAAGCTACCACAACGCTCTCTTCCAGTACCGTATCGATAAGGCCATGCTCCTTTATGAGATTCCTAAGTAGCTTCTCCTGAGCCCATGACACTGCAGAGGTGTACACACTCAGTACCGCTTGCCTCACTGCAGCTGGCTGGGACCTACACAATGTAATAATAACTACTACCCAACGGCTGAATTGCATTAACGAGTTCACATCACTTATCGTATATCGACCTATCCCAATATACTACCGGCTCTCGTCCACGCCTAATCTCGGCAACATGAGCACTAGTAAGTTAGTCGATGCTAGTAGATGATGCCCCCTCTTAGTAGGGGTTGATAGGAAGTTGGCCAACCCTATCACTGTTACGTCGCTGGTCTTTCGATCAAGTAAATGCGATACCACATCATCACCACTTTGGGGTACTGAGAAAGGTAACGAGTAGAGCAAAGACTCAACAACAGCAACACTATGAATGATAATTGTGAATATTTTTATTCATTAAATTGATAAAAATTCTATTTTCATGTATTTATATTTTGGAGTTTCACCCGTGATATGAAAGACACTAGTGACCGAAACATATTTCACGACTAGTACAGGCCGTTTTTCACCAAGTTTTACGCCACTTCACGTAAAACGGGTGAAACTCCTTCGATTTGACATTTCTTCAATGAACAATATTATCTATTGAAATTTATTGAATTTTCATGACAACATGAAGTCGATGAATAAACATCAGCCTCACTACCTTGGCTCTCTATCTCCATCTCAGTCTGCTCCACAAGTGGTGACCTACCCTCATAAGGGGCACTGGTGGCCACCGTGGGGGTCTTCTTATGTCGACGAATTTTACCCATCAATTATCACAAAAGGAAGCCAACACTAGATCACGACAACGCGAGATTCTTTCTCTCGAATATTGAAGGCAGATCCGATTACTCTCCAACCTAGTCGACGACAGGAAGACCTCACTCAACCTCGCATGACTAGAAGTGCTTAATAAACAACAATGCTTATACTAAACACAGATGCTTGCAACTCTTATGGATACTATTACAATGATCAATACCATGCCTTATCGTAATGAAGAGAATCCAAACACTACCGTTCTCACTTTAGCGAGCATTCGAGTGGCAGCTACTCACTAACCGTTTGGTGACCCGTGGTCATCGGACTCTTAACACTGTCGACATCGTCTTTGCCATAATAGCTCGAGATAGTCACACTGTGACTGTCACAGTAGTTGTAGCAACTTATCATTCGTTCCTAGAAAGAGAACTGCCCCCTCAAGAAGCTCAAGTTGAATACCGATGTGTATAGTGCATCGCTCCGCTAGAAATTCGCGGAGATGTATCAGTGAGGGAGGCGGATCTTCGCCGCGGACCGTGTAACATGTACCCCATTTTCATTGAATCAATTCTGGACTTCCGAATCGATCCTAGCATCGCGTTATACGTGTAATAAGCGATTCTGGAATCTATTCTGAGTTTCGGGGGTAGGGCGAGCTTCTTTACGACTACTCCCGGGAGCAAGTACCGAAGAGGGTGTAGACACGCACTGTCGTCGGCACACTCACTGAGTG